ACATGACAGGAAATATACTTGAAGGTGATGGACATTGCAGTTGTGTTTGGAAAGACCCAAAAGGCAGGTTCAGATAAACTACTTTGAAAGAAAAAATCTATATTCTTTGATCTTCCATATTGGTGTATCCTTGATGTAAGACACAGTATCGATGTGATGTATGTAAAAAAAATGTGTGTGACAGCCTAATTGGAACATTCCTTAATTTAAAAAGAAAGACAAAAGACAATCTGAACTCCAGCTTAGATTTACTTGAGATGGGTATATGAGAGAAATTAGCACCATGATCGGTTAGTAAGAGGACATATTTACCACTAGCTTGTCATACTCTGTCCAAAAATGAAAAAAAAAATGCCTATGTCATTGTTTATAAGGAATAAAAGTGCCACAAGTTTTTCTTCAAACATCAAAAGACTTGTCTCAATGAAAGACCTCAAGTTAGTTGGGTTGAAGTCTCATAATTCTCATGTTTTGATGCAACAAATGTTATCAGTTGCCATTCGTGATATTTTGCCCAAAAAAGTGAGAGACAATATAACACAACTGTGTTTGTTTATTTCATAAAGTATGTACTAAAGGCATCAAAGTTAAAAAGTTAGATGAGCTAGAATACGAACCTGTTTTGATACTATGTAAATTAGAGATGTATTTTTCTCCATCATTTTTTGACATCATGGTGAATTTAATGGTTCATCTTGTGAGAGAGATTAGGTTATTTGTCCCTATTTATTTAAGGTGGATGTATCTAGTTGAGCGATATATGAAAATATTAAAAAGATACGTGATGAATCTTCGATGTCCAAAAGCATCAATAGTTGAAAGATACATTGCAGAAGAGGCCATTGAGTTTTGTATAGAGTATTTGTCAGAAGTAAGACCTATAGGGCTTCCTTATTATCGGCATGATTCATGGTCAACAGGAAATGGTACACGAGGTTTAAATGTGAAAAGCATAGGTGCAGCAGAAGTGTTGCAAGCACATTTATATATTTTGAATAACACTAATGAAGTTCTTCCTTATTTATCTTCTCACAAGAACATATTGAAGAAAAATAACCCTCGGATGAATGAAAGATCGTTGTTGAATGAGCACAATAAGACTTTCTTAAAATGATTTGAAAATGCTATTCTCAATGATGATACTGTATCTGAAACTTTAAAGTGGCTTGCGCATGGTCCAAACTTTGATGTGATATGTTGGAGTGAATATAATATTAATAATTTTATGCTAACTGTCATTACAGTCAGCATTACAGAATCTTGGACTTTGGTAAATATAACATAATTGCACATAAGAACATAGAATATTTGTTTATTTATAATTACAAAGCTAATGCTTATTTGTCATTTGATTTTATAGATATTTGTAGATTCTGATCCAATCCCTGAAGAGGAAATTAAAGATATCAAAAAACATTAGGCACAGTTTATTTTAGATATCAGTTCAATTTCTTTCTAAGCTTTTAATGATCGATTAAGACAATATGTATTGATTTATATATGTACGTATTCATTTTATATATATTAAATTGTGAATGTTCTCAATCAGAAATAGTGTGATATTTTTCTATATTTCAAATTGTGTAGAAATGCATTAATTAAAACGTATATTTAAAAATAAATAAACACTTTTTATATCGATTGTGACCATAACTGATATAGAAAGTGTATTTCTACATCGGTCTTGACCATAACCAATGTAGTAAATACACTTTCTACATCAGTTATGGTCACAACCGATGTAGAAAGATTACATATTCTACATCAGTTACTCTGAAAAGCTGATGTAAAAAGTGTATTTACTACATCGTTTGTATGCATAACTAATGTAGAATATATTTTTTTACATCAGTTGTTAACCGATATGAAACATCACTATTTACTACATCGGCTATATATACATCGACGTATTAACTAATGTAAAAAACTCTTTTTAATTAATATTAAAAGTCATTTATGTACTAATGTTTATTGCCAATAATTGTTGTGTCAAATCTCAAGAAACTAAGCACACACTTCTGGAAGGACACTTCACAAAAAGAAACTATGTTTTTTATAACATTTCTATAAGACCCTCAGTTTGTAATTTTGTTACTTCAGAAAACTCTAATAATATTTATGATTTGTCTAATAAAGTTTTTAATGACAAATACTATAATAATTGTATAGGCTTAATTATAATTTTGGTCCCTATAAATATAAGCATTTTTGTGATTAGTCCTACAAATATTTTTGTTTGGAAGTAGTCATTCTAAAGTAAGAAATTAGAAAATAGTCCTTGTCGTTAATCTTCCTGCCGTTAGCCAACTCAGCACTCCACGTGACGTCACATAGATGTCTAGTCACAACCTACATAGTTTGCCATATCATTTAAATTTTTTATGAAAATTAATTAAAATAAATATTTATAAAAAAGTCCATAAATATATTTTATATATTTGCAAAAAAAAATTCTTCTTCATTCCCAAACTTCTCTCCATCTCAACCTCTCTCCCACCCCACTCCCCCCTTTCTGGTGCCTCTTCCTCATTTTCATCCTTCTTCCTACCCAAAAAAACAATAAATATTTTTTAGTGACATTATATTCATTGTGACGCAGAAGGGAAGTTCTCTCCTTGTTGTTAAAGCCATATCTGAAGCTACAAGACTCCGAATTGAGTGATTTCAAGGACGTTGGAAAGCTAAGACACAGATCTACAAATGTTTCTCTCATAAGCTTTGTCAAATTCCAAGCCGAAGATGGTCATTTTTGAGCTCGAAAAGTACCCACGGAACTGCCCCTGCATTTATCCATTTTTGGGCTTTGTTTTGTTTTGTATTTCCTTAATTTCTGTAGCTGCAAGACTCCGAATTGAGTGATTTCAAGGGCGTTGGAAAGCTAAGACACGGAGCTACAAATGTTTCACTCACAAGCTTTGTCAAATTCTAAGCCGAAGATGGTCATTTTTTAGCTCGAAAAGTACCCACGGAACTGCCCCTGCATTTATCCATTTTTGGGCTTTGTTTTGTTTTGTATTTCCTTAATTTCAGCCATGGTTACAGAGATTTTCAATACAAATGTGCTAGCTCTTCTTCAATTTATCCGATTAGAGTTTGTTTCTTCCTCTTCTCTCTTTCAATTTCACAAGTATGGTTTAGATTTATGCTTCTTGTCGCTGGGCTGTTGATGTTAATCTCCTTCTTACATTTCGATTTTTGCTATCTGTTGTTGAATCTCTTGGGCTGTTGCAATTTATTATGGATGTCCTTACGGCCCAATAGCCTCTCCTACACTTATGTGCTCCTCTCCATAGAACGGCCCTCTAACTCAAATTTGGAGTATACCGAGATCTACTTTAAGAATCTGGTAAAGCAATTGAAGTCTGGGTAGGCCTCTCGTGAAGGATGGTGTGCATGAGGATTATGTCTACTAAAAGTTGGGGCAGAAGATGGAGAAGCTGTAATCAAGAGCAAAGGATTTGAGAGATCAGTCAATGCTTTTCCTTTTCTTCTTTGTTGGATTTAAGTGAATTGTTGTATCCTCCGTTAATGAGTTTCTTTCTACTCGGAAGTTAGTTTTCGGATTAACTTAGTGTTTTATTTAAATCCCTAGATGGAGGTAATGATGGAGTGTGGGGAGGAAGAATGGTTGGGATTAGAGTGGAGCGGTTACAGAAAGTGAGGAGAGGAATTGATTGGAGAAGAAAAAGGGTTTATTTATAAATATATAAAATGAGTTCTGGAGTTTATTTGTAAATTTTAATTTTAAATAAAAAATTTAAATGACATAGCAAGCCATATAAATTGTGACTGGGCATCTACGTGGTGTCACGTAGAATGCTGAGCTGGTTTTCTATTAGCTAGTTCAACACTTAACAAAAAGAGAGTTAGCGGCAGGAACTATTTCCTAATTTCATACTTTAGAAGAATCACTTTCAAACAAAAATATTTGTAAAACTAATTACAAAAATGCCTATAAATATAAGGACTAAAAACATAATTAAGCCTAACTATATATATATATGTGATTTCTTGTAGTGTATTTGTATACTTAAGAGAGATATCAACTTCTATCGGTATAATTTATATTCCTATTTTTAATAACTTTTTATTAAATATTTTTTTAAAAATTAATTCATTAGATAAAATTTTTAATTACTTTTTTTTATATACACATCAAAATTAACACAATATATAAATTTGAAATACATTAAAAAAATATAAATTTTTTATTGTAATCTTTTAATTATTTAATTTTAACATAATTTAACACAAATAATTTATATTATATAGAATTATGTTTTTAATATGTTTTGAATATTTAAGTGTATGTCAAATTAAAATTAGAATTTTACTATGATAAAAAATTATTATAAAAAAATTTAAAATATATATTAATAATCTTAGAATATATTTAATATAATCTTATAATTTACTTTAAATCAATTTTTTAGTTCCTGTAATTTCTTTAAATTTTAATGATTTAAATTCTTTTATTAAGTCCTTATATATTTTTTAAAAAAATAATTAAATTACTAATAATTGATATATATATATATATATATATATATATATTTAACTTAAATTTAACATGTTATAATTTATTATTTTATTGGCCATTAGATTTAAATTAAATAAAAAGTTCAGAATAGATGTAAAAAATTTAGATTTATTTTGGTTTAAAAAGATTTTTCTCTATTATAAGTTAGGATCTATTAATACTAGGTATAAATTTTTTTAAATTTATATCAAATTTTAATCATATAAATAAATAATTTAACAATTAAAAAATTATTTGTTAAATTAAAATAATAAAATATAAGTTTATAAAAAAATAATTTTTTAACTATTAAATAATTGATTTTTACATTTTAGTATAAATGAATTATTATTATTATTATATATCCTTTCCGTTTTACTTTTCTCCGCCTTTATCAACGAACCAACACGTCTCAAGTATCACACAACGTGGCATAAATATTACTATTATTCTCAACCAATTTTTTTTTTTTAAATAAAATAAAGGAGTTAGGAAAACAATTGCATTGCAAAGAAAACGCAGAGATAGATTCGTGGCGAGATCTAGCTGAAATTGCAGTGCGCGCACCTTAACTAAATCACAGATTCAACAATAACAATTCGAATCTCCTTTTTGGTTTGAATATGTGGGGCACAATTGCCAATTTCAAGGAGAACTTGAACAAGATTGCCCTCGATGTTCACTTCGCCGACGACGATGAAGACGACATCGTTTTCCCTCCCGACGCCCAAAACCCTGCCGTCTCCGATCGCCGCAATTCTCACAGCTTGGCGCATTCCAAATCGGTTTCTAGGTCGCCGCCACCGATGGCCAACGGAATAACAGATTACCCCTGTTCTTCTGAGGTATGTGGTCCTGAAATTAGCTACAAGGTTGTGTGTGTTTTGCGATGCGATAATGGAATATGGCGTGGAACATTGGAATGTTAACTTCCGATGTGTGATTGTAATTGCTTAATGGGTTAGTTATTGAATCGTAGAGAGTTGGAATTTGAATCGAGAGTGGAAGCAGAATGATAAATCGTTGCGTTTCATTTAGGAATAGTGTTAGTGAAACACATCGTCTGGATAATTCAAAAGGATGATTGCAAATTATGAATAGCTAACTACATATTAGAACAATTGGCTGCAGAAATGTTGCCATCGGAAGTTCTCACGTTCCTCGTTAGTGCTGAGGCGGAGAGGAACTGTAGTTTCACTCACAACAAAATCTCTTCACCTTATTAGCATATGTGCAGTATGTGAGAAATTTTGTATGGCTGACATTTCTGTATGTTGCTGCTATAGGGTTAGTGTGCATCCAAGTTTGTAGTAACACAACTAATTATTTATGCACCATATGAGTTCATGTCTACTTAAAATTATATCGGTTAGTTTTTATTGATTATATTTCTTTTAGTGAGTCTTATTGTTGTCTGTTACGATAAGTTGTATTAAGCTTAAGCTGGTTTTGTTCATAGTAAGGATGGAATGGTGATGATGAGTGACTGTGATGTAACGTTTCAATCCACTACTTGGTTCTGCTCTCTTAGCAGAAGGCTGTGTATTTAATACCTGGGCTGATATGATATTACGATTAACCAAGCTAACCTGGTTTGAAAGCTGTTCAGAGCAAAGTGTTGACAAGTGGGTTTTTGGAGCTTTATCAAAAAACTAACTTGAGGGCAGGCCACAAATAAGGATTGATGGTTGTTTCCATTGTTGTTATCTTATGGGCTTTTGGTTAGTGTGTTTGACTTTGCTTTTGCTATCTTACTTTGTGGATCTACAGTTATCACTTTGCTCCCACCTTTTTCCATATTAAATGTTATCTATTGATATTTAGAGCAGATAGAGACGTGCAGTATCGCATCTTAATCCTGGCTAAATGCCATTAGCAATTTTATGTTTTGCTTTAGTGTCATTATATTGTAGTATTGGGAGTGGCTCTAGAAACATAATATCTAGGATCCTCTGAGTCTGACTTGTGTATTACATATTACATAATACATCTAAACTCTCGACTGCCTATACATGTCTCATTGGGTTTGGGTAATGGTTCATTTATTAAATTTTGGGATTATCTTTGGGTGGGTAATGTTCCTCTTTCTTATGATTTTCCTAGACTTTATCACCGCTATTGGACAATGCCCCTGTCATTCAGTTGACTCTTTATCTCACCCAACTGTTTCTTGGATTTTTCACCTCTTGAGATTGATGAGGAATTTTCTGAATGTCAGTTCTTTTGGTGTCATTGGATTCAATCGATCTTTCTTCTAATAGATAAGAGGATTTGGTTCGTAGACACTTTGTGTTTATTTTCTTGCAAATCATACTTCCAATATTTCACATCAGACCCACTAATGCTTCCTATCCTCTGGATAAGTTTTCTTGGATATCTTGTGCTCTCTCCAAGATCAAATCCTTCAATTGGACCGTGGCCTTTAGTAGGATTAGTAATTACTTTGAATTTGACACCCCAAAATGTTTGATTTCCTGATTTCTGTGTAATGTGCAGATTGAGTGCTGAATCTTGTTTACATTTGTTTTTGCATTGTCCATCAGCATCTTATCTGTGGAATAAAAGTATTCAGTGTTTTTGGTGAACACTGAGCTTTTCTAATGGACCTTTGGAAGTTTCCATGTGTTAATTTCCAGATGATTTGATGTTGGCAAAGTTGCCAAAAAGCTTTTAGCAGTGTTCTCTGTCTGCAGTTCTTGGTGTATAAGTAATGTTAGAGTCTTCTCATACGGCAATCTTTTATTGAGTTCATTTGGCTTTGAGTAGTTTTTGTTAGACCAGAAAGTGTAGAAGAAAGTCCAAGAGAACATTTGCTGGATAGCGGCCCAGATAAGCCCAAAATATGGTATATGTATTTTATGAAGAATGGACCAACTGTAAAAAGTCAAGTCAGGTTAACAAGTGGTTAGAAAGTTAGTCTAAGTCTTTGTTAGTCAGAAAGTATAAAAGGAGAGTGAATAACATAAAAAAGGGGAGGAAATGAGTTGTATTCTTTGGGTTAGAGATTCAATATCTGGAAGGAGCTGTGATCTCTGCAATTGCTTGTAAATTATAATTCTTTCTTGATTGAGCAATAAAGATTCAGTCTCATTCTTTCATTCTTTTCTTTGAATCCTAACAGTTTTTCTAGCTTCTTTCTGGTGTTTTGTTCATGATCTTTTTAGAGAGGGGATCCTTGTTAGTTTATAATACAGTTTCCAACAGCAAATATGAAATAGAACAAAGAAAAGAGGAAGAAAATAACTGTGATCCTGTATTAATTGCAATAAAGAACATACAGAAAGGAGAAGCAGAGCTCCTAATAGAGAAACAAATATGCTGCTTCTACCCAAATGCAACAAAAAAACAGAATGATCTCCCCTGATCACTTATGATTCCTATATAGCAGAAATATCTCTTATTTTTTCTCCCTCTCTCTCTCCTCTAAATTCCTTTCCTACATCTCTCATGCCACGTCAGCTCCTCCTCTCTTCCTTCGTGAATACACTAACAGCTGCTTGGGATTGGATTTCCCTTCATGGGCCAAAGGCTCAACTGACCCACTTAGGAATGGGGCCTTATCAGTTTAGATCCTTAGATAGATTGGCATGTTGTGTTGCATGTTTCTTGACACCCCCCCCCTTTTTTTTTTGGTTATGTCTTCTTTAGTTATTGAGGATTTGTTTTCGGCTTTTTGTATATGCCTTTTCGATCTTAATATTTTTTTCTTATTATAAAATAGCACATGCTGGTAAAAAATTGGAATTTTTTTTTTACCAAATGCATGGATTTTTTTTTTTCTTTACCAAATGCATGAAAATGTATTGTATTCAATGTTTATACCATATATTTTCTCCTTGAATTGTCTAGTTGAATATAATACTTGGTAGGTTAGTTATTATGGTTAAAGATGTCATTTTTTTTCAAATTTTATTGCATTTCTTGTAGATTGAGCTCACTAGTGAGATAAGACTGGGTGGTTGTTGTTGTTCTTGTAGATTGAACAATATAAAGCAGAAATCAAGCGACTTCAAGCATCCGAGGCAGAAATTAAAGCACTATCAGTTAATTACGCAGCTCTATTAAAAGAAAAAGAGGTATAGTTGCCTGGTTATTACTTTTTTACATATATGTACCTATAATATGTTGATTTTTCTTCTGTTGTTTCTTATGTTGGAGCTACTCAATGTTCTAGTGTTTCTGGTTCAGCTGTTGACTGGCAAAAGGCAAACTTGTGATGCCAAAACTTGTCTCTTTTGTTTGCCAAAAATTCTTGTTACTTGTTGTTTGGAGTTTTTTCTTACTTCCTTAAAGAACTAATGTTGGTTTTGTTTAGCTTTTGCTTTTTGAAATCTTTATGGACCTAATATTTTTCTAAACAACAGTCAATCCTGATTATTCCAGTTGGTAGGTTTGCTACAATGATAAATTAATGCCACCAGGATCTAATACTAGTCAATTTTTTATGAAAATCAATAGAGCTTTTTAATGGTTTCTTATATTGTTTGATTAGGTGTCCTCCTACATTTCATCAAATTATCTTTCTTTTGAACCACATTTTTCACTTAAACTTCATTGGTGTTTTATCACATGATCCATCAAACAGACCTTTGGCAAACTTTTGTCATCTCCTTAATAGGTGCTACTCTAACTCTTTTCTTAGATAATGTCATTCCTAAATCTTCTATATCCCCTGGTTCAGCTTATTTTCATCACTGCTCCATGCTCGTTGCTATAGAGCTTTGGTAGTGTAATAGCTATTTGGTAGAATTTTCTGAAGTTTTTATTAGAACTTTGTCCCCAAATTGCAATTAAGCATTTTTCAACTTCATTCACCCAACTTGAATCCTATGTGTGACATCTCCATTAATGTTTCTTTCCATCTGTTCGTGGACAACTGTATCCGTTGAAAAGTAATAAAGGGTTTTAAAATAAATTTTTAAAATATCGTCTCACAAAGATTTTCAATTATTAAAAATTTTTAATTTAATTATTTGAACTTAAAGGCTATGAAATTAAATAAAACAAGAATTTAAATATAAAACTAATTAAAAAGAAATTAAAATAGCGCAACATCTAAAAATAAACTGATCGAAAAGAACCTAAGGTGTATGGTTTCACCTTTACACTTTTCTTTGTTTTTTTAAATTAATTCCACTCATAATAAATTTATTAACACTAAATGATCATGCAATTTTAACAATCTTCTATCTAAACTATCACCGTTAATAATCATGCAAAGTAAAAGTAAGAAAAATCATAAAGAGTCTCTAAATTATTAATTTAATAACAATTAAAATAGAAGAATTAAACTTGATCTATTTAATCTTTTGTCTCGTTATACGCTATAGATTCATTCACTATTTATAATATGATCGCCTACAATATAGGTAATTATGGTATATTCAAGAGTTGTTATTTTTGACATATAAATATAGTGCAATAAAATAACACAAATCAAGAATGAAAATACAAAATTATCATAAATCATAAAAATCTCAGAGTCATGCAAAGGATGTATCATAACACTAACTATGAATTTAGCTATACATAATATAAAAGAAAACCAAAACAATAAACCAATCCATAATAATCGAAAAGTAATGTAAACTAGAGTTTCCAATGGAGAAGAGATTATGAGAGTTTTTAATCCCTAAAACATGCTTTCAAGGCTCTAGTAGGCGTCAACAATGGACTATCACTAAGATTCAAAATGTAAAAAAGTGATAGATATAAGGTATATCAGACCCTGAGGTATCTTTAATAGGGTTTGAAAATCTTAAAATTGTTTCAAATTTGGACTTCTTGCACCGTGCATATGGTCAAAGCACACCTATGCTGGCTACTGAGGAATGGGCGTGCTGGCTGCTGCAAAGCTCATTTTTCATTTAATTTGGGTCCAAAATACATTTAAAACATAGTTGTAAGTTGTAACCTTCTCATATTAATCTACATGATACTCATATAAATTAGTATAAATATTTGATAAAATAATGGTCACAAATAAATATATAGACTATAAAAATATGACAAAATATATACTTATCACCATCATGGTGTAAGATGGATCCAAGATATATATATATATATTGTGCACCTAATGGTACGATGTAATCCCTGGTTTGGACTTTATATTGTGTTTGTTTAAAATAAGGTGAACTCCGCTGTAATACATCATTTGAAGAATAAGATATATCTACATATTCTAGATTTCTTGCTGTTTTGCTAAGCTCTAATGCCTTCTCCCTTATGCCTAATGGAAAGAATTCTTTATTTTCTTGGATATATTATGTGACATCTATCTAAGGCAGAGGTTACACATTACAATTTGTCCAACTTTTTAATTTGAGATATTTTATTACTGGCCTTTGGAGTTTAACTATCCATCCCTTTCAACTTTGCAGGATCAGATCTTTAGATTGAATAAAGAAAATGGCTCATTAAAGCATAATTTGGAAGCTACAAGTCCAGCATCTGCAAATGGCACTTACACAGTCAAGGTGATCCTATATTCTAATTCAAACTTTATTGTGAAGATTTCAGTGTAACATAAACTCTTAACCTGTGCTGTAAGTCTTTTGTTGAAGTTGTTGTCTTGTATCTCATGATTTTCACATGAAATTTATTAATGATGAGGATGAGAGGTGCTGCATCATTACATTTTCTAAACTTATGCTATTTCTGGTTAGAAAAATGCAATCACCCTTTATAGGACAAAACTTAGGTGCCGCACGTCAGGTGTTTTTGGTGTTGTATGTCTCAACTCATGCATTTTTGTAATGATTGAGAAAATATAGTTATATATAATAGTGAAACTATACATAATATTTTGTAATCTGTTAGGCCTCAGACGGGGGGGGGGGGGGGGGGGGAGAACTTGGAGAATGTATGTACAAAGAGCCAAAAAGTGGGAAAAAAACACAGTTAGGGGGTTTAGAATTAGTTGAGTGTCAGAGAGGAAAGTGGATATGTACAGAGAAGTCAGGATAAAAGCATTCATTGTGAGAGTTGCATACTGTAAGAGGGAATCACTGGAGGGGGCTTTGCTCATTGCATTTGTGAGTCGTCAATAAAAGTAACACATTCTTCAATTCATTCCTCTCTTTCTCTCAGCTATATCTTTTCTGAAGTTCATAACGTTATTTGCACTGGTTAATAATAGTAAAATGTTTGGACAGTTCTACTCCATTGATGTATCCTTTTATTTTAAGTACTACTTTTCCATAAATATCCTGTTCTGGGGGTGCTTTCTGAAAACTTGGTGTGACAGCACAAAATGGTTTGTTTGATTGCTATTTGCTGTTTTGCTTTTCCTTTTTAGTTGTCATGGATCCCCTGCCCTCCAACCTTCTAATTTTTCCCCTGTCTTGATGAATTTTTCTTTTACCATAATAATAATAGTAAATAAGTAAGTACATCTATGTGAAGCATTTATTTTTGTTTTTTCTTTTGGGGGAGAGGGGGGTCTTGTATTAATAGTAGTTAGAAGAAACTTGATGGGAATGGCCTGTTTTAATCCTGTAGAAAATAATAGTTAATGAGAAAAAAAAAAACTAGCTTCTGTAATCTATTTCCTTCCCTCACATTGGGATATTCGGTACTCATTAGGCTGGTGAAAGCATAAGAATGTTATATTCTGTTAGAACTTAGTTGGAAATCAGTTACTGAATGTCTTGTTCTTGACAGATAACCAAGGATTCTTGTTGATTACTTTTGAACATTTGTGCAGGGAAGTAGTGAACAATCATCAAATCGACAGCATAGGTTCACAACTCAAATGAAAAATAATTATCCTACAAACAACGGAAATACATCTGCTTTGGAATCCGATGCTATTCAAAGTAAGATGGCATCTAAACGTTCAAACTTACAAGTAAAGGACAAGGTAACCACACCTTACATTTTTGGTTATTCTTAAATAATGAACCAATAGAGGAAGATTGACCATTAAGTGGTATGCATTGATATTACTTACCTATTTTTATCACCTTTTTCTGGTTCTATGTGTATTTTTTTCGTGAAGTCCTAAGGCCATATGGTGTACTCTTCAATGAAAAAAGAAAAGGAAAATCACTTTTATTTTCTTTTTCTATTTTTTTAGAGTGAAAGCTTGTTCTCTTTTGTCTGGGTCCCTTTTGATTTAAACTTTTTGATAGGATTTATATTTTTATTTTTAGTGATGAGTGAACTTGACAACAGATGTATGAATATGCCTTCTAGGAGCTAGCAGATTTGGTAGAGGGAAAAAATGGCCCCACAGGTGCAGCACATCTTCATGAGATACAAAAATTGAAGTTGGAACTGGAGCAAGAACGCAATAAATTGGCAAACATTCAGCTAAAATTCCAGGGTCATTATTATGCATTTAGATTATCTGGATTGTTCATCATTCTGTTTATTTATATAGAAGACTGTTAACAATCAGGCTCTTTCTTCATTTTCAGAGGAAGAGAAATTGAACAAGTCTTTCCAGGAGGAGCTTAAATTATTAAAGTTGGAAAGGGACAAAGTGAGTTTATGTAAACATAGTTAAAAATTTGATGTTCATGGCTGCAACACCTTTCCTTTATTACATTCAGTATATGGTTTACAACTTCAGAGAGTTATTGACATAAAGCAATAGATGTATACTATAAATGGATGTTATATTTCAATTTGTTGTGCAGTCTTGGATGTCTATTCAATTATTGTTTGGTGTGTATGAATACTCTTCAAATTGCTGCTTGTTATTCAACTGTTAAAGGACTTGTAATAAGATATTGCATACAAGATTCTGGACAATTTTAAAAAATATCTAATGTGTAAATAACACCTGATGAACTAGATACTGGAATTCAGCATTGAACTATTAATAGATGAAAATTGAAATAAAGGCTTAAACAACACTACCTAATCTCCCAAACCTGTGAAGCAAGAAGAAAAATTACCTAGTCTTTCATTCTAGGAAGGAAGCTGCCATGCCACCATAAGTTCAGATAGCAATTCAGATTGAAAATCTTCCATTCTGTCTTTGATTCAGTGTTGTTAAAATTAAAAAGTGGCCTTGGGGGAATGGCCTGGCTAAAATTGCAAAAAACCAGTATGAAGAACTGTGTTGCAGATTTCACTGGTGGAAAAGGGTTGCCGCAATATTTATGGTAGCACAATGATCATGGCAGATATTGATGAAATGGCAGTTTGGAGTGAAATTATATAAGCGAAAAAGTGTAACGTTTTTGTGCAATGCATGTCACTCAACAAGCCAACCTCACTCAAACCTCACTTTGAAGTACATCTTTTCTGAACAGGACCTCAATCACTGCTGGATTTTTCTCCAGCAAACATCTTTGTCCAGTGTTTCTTCTTTATTTTCCATTTGTGTTTCTTCTTTCTCCAATTCCCTCATGTATTTCCTCTCCCCACTGTCAGAATTTTATTTCTCTTTGTTCTATGTCTTCTTTGTCTTCATTTTTGTTTTCTGTCCCTGGTGAGCCCTGGTTCTTTCTGTACCACTGGCAAACTCCAGTATGGCTGCAAAACCATTATTTATCTCAAACTTGCCCCTATTCTCTCTTCTCAGCATCTAGTTTTTAATTTCTTTTCTCTCTTCCTTCTTATGCTAAATCAAACCTCACTTGTACTCAGGTCACCATGTGACCCATGTGTGGTCCAATTGTGTGATTTGACCTGTTTATAGTTCTATAGAATTTGGGGAAATGAGTATGCTGATGGATTAAAAATATTAATTATCGTAATATTATTTATTAGATTCTTTTTATTAATTTTTCATGCAGTTCTGTTTTTAAATTTTATTTATTATTAGTTAATTGACTAATGAATACTATTTTTATAAGATTTTAACAAAAATGTTTTTGCCCTAAACTAGTTGAGACTAGGAGCAGAAAATAGTTTTTAAAAATTTTAAAATAATATTGACAATGCATAATCTATAATTTTAACCTGCCATTTCATAACTGTATTAGATTGTTTTATGGTTTTCCTTTGTGTGTATTTTTTGTCTTCCAACTTGAAATTAATGTCCTCATCTTTATGTTTCTATAATTTTCTTGTTCTTGATGTGTTATTAGTTCTTTTGTTTATATTCAGAAGATTATTTTAACATTTTTGTATACATTTTTAGGATAGGTGGCATTCTGGTATTGCCACAATGCCATCTGTCATATATATATATATATATGGCAATTTTTTGGCTCCCTGCCATAAGCTGTCTTCCGCCCTCACACTGCTTTGGTTGTGAATGGAATATTGAATAATTGATATTAAATCAAGAGAAAATCATGGACGAAAATCAAGAATGGATTGCTAAAAAGCAAATGAAAGTATATTCACAAGAAAATAGGACTATATATTAAAAGAGAACATGGAGCAGCTTTTCCCTATGCTTCAGAATCCCCATATCACTGGCTTTCTGAATTGTATCTTCTAAACTGAAAAGGAATAACTTGACTGCTTTCATATTTACCTTAATAACTCCCTTTACATCATTGATATAATGTGTTGTTTCAAGAAATCTGGATTTTGGTTTTGTTGTAGTATGCAATTTGATAAGCTGGGCTATTTTAGTTTTTGGCTATCTAACCCATGCATATATTGTATTATTGCTTTGAAGACAGCAAATGACGTGAGCAAATTACACAGTGAATTGAATGAGAAAATATCTGAAATAAAGTATCTGCAATTGGAGTTGTCTAGACGGGAAGATGAAGAAGCAAGTGACGCTGTGCATAGTAGCTTCAAAAGATTAATTGAAACTTTACAGAAGGAAAACAGTACCCTTAAGGTTGGTAGATTTATGCAATTTTTTTCATTGTAATACAAAAAATTTCTATGGTCTTATCACTCGAAACTTGATGATAATTGCTTTCGATATTGTGCTATATTATATCTTATGGTTTTTAGATGGAAAAAGATGAACTTGAGGCTGTGCTCAAATCAAGTAGGATGTCTTTCACTGGAAAAATGTCACCTGATGCTTCTCAGATGCAGAACAAGGATCCAAGCTGTAACAGTGATGTGAGCCAAAACATTTTAGCAACATTGACTTTACAGGTTATACATTAAAAATCGTGTATATAATCTTTGACCTCTTTTCTCCTCATTTCTGGGGCTTTGGGAATTGGCTTTTGGTAGCAGTTATCAGATCCTTCCAAAGGTTTTCCAGGGAAAGAAGACTTGGAAAGATCCTTACATAAGCTTAGTAAAGATTTAAAGGAGACACATAAGGAGAGGGATAAAGCAGTACAAGAATTGACCCGCCTTAAACAGCATTTGTTAGAAAAGGTTGCATTTTTCACTTTACATTTTCGATGCAGAATGAATAATGATTGAGCATTTTGTAAAGGCATAAACAATATACTAATTATCATAATCTGTCATGTTTATCTCCAATTATTGTTTCCCCCTTATATTATGTTTTGTTCCCATAATCGTCTATTAAGTGTGAATGACTTAAATTGCATTCATCCACATACATCAATCTTTCTGCAGTACACTGATGTTCACTACACTGCTTTTTGACTAGGAATCTGAAGAATCAGAAAAAATGGACGAGGATAGCAAAATCATTGAAGAACTACGAGATAACAATAATTATTTAAGGGCTCAAATTTCGCATCTTGAAAAAACTGTGACGCAGGCAACTGCAAGTCAGGAGAAACTGAAGATAGCAAATGACAATGAAATTCTTAAGTCCAGGGAAATCATTGATGACCTGAACAAGAAACTTGCAAACTGTTTGAGCACAATAGATGCTAAGAATACTGAACTTATAAATCTACAGACAGCTCTTGGACAATATTATGCTGAAATTGAAGCTAAGGTTGTTTCTAATTAATTTATTTTTTTAGAAATTAACTGGAATTGATTTAGTTGTTAACATTGCCTCACTATTTTTTTCACCAATATCAGTGTGTTCTTCTTGTCTATTGTTGCAAGTAGAAAACTTATATCCACTATAATTTGTTTTCTGAAGGAACATTTAGAAGGAGAGTTGGCTCGTTCAAGGGAAGAAATGTCCAAGCTTTCTCAATTGCTGAAAGTATGAATCTATCTCTCTCGCCAACTGTTTCTATATATTAGACAACACATACTTTATTTAAAAGTTTAAGGGAACAGTGTTTGACCCTTTATGCTTACTGTAAAAAAAAATTGATCTCCACTATCCACGAATCTTGGTCTGCATTATTTTTATCTGATAATTACTTTGGTAGAAAACCTGGTGGAGTAGGATATCATGGTACCTTAGCTTGTGGGCTTCCCTTCAAGAGTTAATCAGAAAGAAATGTATTTCTTCTTGTACAGATTCATCCTTTCAGAGAATAGAGAATTAAACTTGAGAGAAGTAAAGATAATTTGGAAGCATATTAGCTTTGTGTAGGCTAATTTCAAAAAGATGATAGAAAGCAATAGGTGGGTATGGAGAGCAGTTAATGCTATTGGTTATCACATTAGAGGGAGCATGTGATAAGGGAGAGCTCTAATCCAAATGTCCTGCCAATGGATATGGAGATCGCTTCTACATCCATAAAAGGAAATCTTTGGTTGATTGAAGGGACCTCTCCCTGGATTATTGACTACGATCATGAATACTTTCCCTTGCTGTAGACTATCTAATTTATTCATGGATCAGTTGATGTAGGGATGCCATTTCACCTTGTCACATAAGGCTGAAGATTTATGATAAGTTGACAACCTATCCAGTTAAGGCTGGTTTATGGAAACAATTAATTCAATATCTCAGACTTATTGGGACGGCGGTTTGGGATAATTCAGTTGGCGATGGGGCTTACTTTTGATATATTTCTATCACTATGTCTTGGATTTTTATTTGATTTTTTTTCCAGTTCTAGTATAGTAACCTTTTTTTTTTATTCCTTAAAAGCTTAACCCATCCTATATTATCCCCCGTTCTTCCTTTAAACTTTGCTCTCATATATTGATACATTATTTTGTTTTCCTGACTCGAGTATAAAAAGTTAATTTATTGGTGTTTCCAATTAAGTAACATGTAGATTAAATGGTTGCCAGGATGCAGATTGTAGAGCAGATTTACTGATCAGTGAAAAAGAAGAAATTTTAGCCAAGCTTTCTCAGTCTGAGAAGTTACAATCAGAATGGAGAAGTAGAGTAAGCAAACTTGAGGAAGACAATTCCCGATTGAGGCGAGCTCTTGAACAGAGTATGACACGGCTAAATAGAATGTCAGTGGATTCTGATTTTCTGGTCGACAGGTTGGCATGTTTTTCATCAAACTATATTTTCCATGCAATATCAGCAAGACCATTTGACTTGGGATTTGGAAGGTTCCTATATTTCTAGCTGGGTGGAGATGAAATCCTTGATGGGGTTATTGTCTATGATTTTTTTGTATCTATCGTATTTTCCTTAAAAGGTTTAAAATTGGAGTCTTATAAGTATGAATCTGGGTTAAATTTTGACTTGGAAATGTTTTCTAGTCATTGTTTTGCTTCTATTTGAGAGAATAAATTATTATACTGATATAAATTTTATGTTTGACAGGCGCATTGTGATAAAACTACTTGTAACATATTTCCAGAGAAACCACAGCAAAGAGGTATGGAGGTCTTCTAATTGTGGCTGCTTTAGATGAATCATGCAGAACTGCCATTTCCTTTATGTTGTGTAACAATCATAACTTTGTGTGAGCGTGTGTGCTTATGGAAGTAATTGTTATATGTTTAGATTCATGATGAGGTCCACATCCTATAATAGAATAACCATGCTAGGATAGGGCTTGAAGGAGTTGAAGTGTTAGTTGATGTCTTATGACACTATTAACCAGAGAAGGTTGTGAAATTATGTTCTTCACTTGCATTTGTTTACTCCTTGCAAAGTGTAAAATTAATTAGTCCTTTTAGCAGATATGTGTGATGTCTTGTTCAAATTGATCTTGCTCATGAAGTTGATATTTGGGACAGGTTTTGGATCTAATGGTTCGCATGCTTGGATTCTCTGATGAGGACAAACAAAGAATAGGTGTTGCTCAACAAGGTCCAGGAAAAGGTGTTGTCCGAGGTGTTCTTGGGTTGCCTGGCCGCCTAGTTGGAGGTATTTTGGGAGGAAGTGCTTCAACTGAATCAGCTGGAAATGTAGGATCAGATAACCAGGTGATCTCTTCTCGTCGTCTGTTTGTTTATCTGCATGGTTTACTTAGAAGGGGAAACTGCAAAAGAGAATATTGAGTAGTTATATGTCGCTCGAGTCTATGACATATACCAAAAGATTCTTTTACAAATGCTGCACATCATGACTTGGAATTAATACTTTTCCCATTTCAGTCCTTTGCAGATATGTGGGTTGATTTTCTTCTCAAGGAAACAGAGGAAAGAGAGAAGAGGGAGTTGGCAGGAAGTACAGGTAAATCCATGGATGATTCACACGATAAAAGTAGTTCTGCTTCACCACCTTCCAATCAGAGGTTTAGCACTGGGACAGCATCATTTAATCCACCTACCAGTCCTCTCCCTCGTGGATATTTTCAGCATTCTGAACAGTTTGATTCCGAGTTCTCAACAGTTCCCCTTACATCATCGGATAGCAAAACTATGAGTTCAAAACTTCTTCCTAGATATTAAATATATACATTTTTTATGTAATTAATCAGGGGTATAGATCATTGTTATATTGTAGAAGTGCAATCTTGTTTAATTAATTCTTTCACATGAAAAATGAGTGTAGAGTGTATTTTATTCACAAGTGTCACAATTATTTTTTCATTGCCTTCGTGTTCCAGTGTGGATACTCTTGCATAATTTGGAGCACTGGAACTGTGGTAACATATTTTGATGTATATCTATCTCATGTAAGTCGCTCATTTTTAAATTATATGATATATTGTCTCGTGCACCATGTCTCGCGAGCCTGCGTCACTCCCTACTTTATAATGAACCTATATTTTGTCGTCTCTTTATTAACTTAATTTTCTCCAATTCTACTCATTTGTCTTGACAGTTTTCTTTCCGATAGGCAACTATTTTTCAACATGATGATTATAATCAATTAAACACTAAAAGCAGCCACTGAGCTTTGGGAGACTCGAGCCAGTCCATATCCTGTTCTCTAAACCATTATGGCAGGCAAACCACGATCAAAAGCTTAATTTAAATGGCGAAATCTAAGATCACTAGTAAAGAGAAATAATGCCCAATACCCCAATGCATTTCGCCGTTTACTAATTTCCACTTATTTGTATACTAATTTACTGCTCGAATATATTACCGAGTTAAAATATACATTTAGTCCCTCTTTGATTTATAGTTAAAATATCATCTCGCCATTTTCATTAAAAGAAACACATTCCAATACAAATACGTACTTCAAATTAATTCAAACACATCTCAACACATTCAAGGATTGAAAATCAAATTATACCCAATTCTAAACTGATATAAACTAAGACTTAATTTTTAAAATAAACTGATGCTAAATATTATTCGTTCGAATCCATAAATCTGTCTAACAATTCAATTAGCAATCCAATATTTTAAACATTGGTCCAATATATCAATATCAAGAATACAAATCCGGCAGCCAAACACATCGAGGGTAACAAATGCTTTTTACTAGAAAAAAAAAAAACAAAAAAGAAGCATACAACTATTATATCTTCAGTAACAATTACTGATTGAACAACTCATACAAACATACAAGAAGCCAGTAAAATCCATATGCTTGCATAGTTAGAAACTATTAAGTACTAATCAAAGATAAACCACACCCATTGCCATTGACACCGTACCAACCTAAAACCAACTCAAAACATAATAACGATTGATATTGATAAAAGAGACTGGGCCCTGGCAACTTCCATGAACAAACAGGTAAAGCTTTTATTTCTGAGGTTACAAGATTAATTGACTAAGCCAACTTCTTGGCCTTCAATGCACCAATTGGAATCTTACTCAAGACCTTAGCGTCAAACACAGCATACTGCTTTTTAATCTCAATGACAGCCTTCTCTGCAAGTGGGTCTATCTTATCCTCGTACTTCTCATATAACACAGGAATCGTGTGCAACAAAATAAAAGCTGTCCATGGAATGAATATGTAAATGAATAAAATTACGTAACAATTTTTTTATATAAAAATTATGTAATTAAAAGGAGTACTGATTATTCTTACTTATGTAGAACAGGGTCAAGAAATTGCACCAGTTCCCCACAGTTGACAGAATCCATAAACCAGCAATAACCTAACACAACATCCACAACAAAATCCTCAACATAACATTATAAGAATAGTAGTGTAGTTCTAAATGAAAAAAAAAAAATAAGTTAAGCAAAACATTCAATAAGGCACCCATTAAGCCATTAAAGCACAGCAGCATGCAAGACCTGAGGAAGTGCCACAATCTTTGGAAGTTACAAGCAATTGGCCCAAAAATTTAATAGAGATTACTTAAGAAAAACTTTTATTTAGTATATGCATATAAATATAATGATGATAAAAAGTTGCAAGGTTACATACTACGAGGAATTTCTTCAAATCTCTTCCAGAACCAATATTATGCAAAACAGCAAATCCTCGGTTGATTTCAATTCTCAATGCAGACGCAACTTGCAGGAATGGCTCCTCAGGAAGATGAACTTCCGGAATGCGAGGTTGGGATCTGCAATATGATTTTGATATTCCATGCAAACAATTAGATGAAGAAAACCCTAAAACACACAACAGCAAAGAAGTTCCAGAGGCTCACTTGTGGATAAAAGTATGGGCATTGGACCACAAGAACAGAACAGCAAGCAGCAGCATTAAAATGTGACAGACTAGAGTAAGAAGGTGATATTCAAGCAACTCAAAAAACACCCAAACAGCAGTGGCTCCGCCAAGCACACCAGCAGATATTTTCTTGTTCCTCCACAACAAAACGTCAGCAGCTGCAAATGATGATTGCCAAAATGTTCCATAAGATAACTACACAAAGTCGCTAACAATTCTCCATTTGATGACAGACTTATCAAACAACTCCTCAATTCTTTATTCAGCATCCCAAGTTTCACTAAAATACAATGCAGCCTAGTCAAATTCGTAGTACAATCAATTTATTATTATTATTGAAAATAACGTTACATCAACTTACCTGACTCGTCTAGAATTTAAAACAACCTGAAAACGTAACATGTAATAAACTACAAAACAGTGGCAAAATAACACATAATAAATACTCAGCTTTGAGAAAAACCCCTTTTATTTTCAAGAAACCACAATATATTAGTTCACAAAACGTGGCGCTCAAAAAGGTTTACATTTTAGTAACCCCGATCAGTGATAAGAAGGTCAAGTCACTTTCTTTTCTTCCTTTTTTTCTTCAATTTCTTGCCGGTTAACTTTTTTCTACTCCAATAGTTTTATCCATAACATTCCCACATCGAATCCATTCACAAAACCCAAAACGCACAAAAACGACAACAAAGAAGAGAGAGAGAGAGAGAGAGATACGTTTTCCGGCGCCCAAAACGGAATGAACGGGCTTCTCCCGGCCAAAAAGGCGAAAAATCTTATCCTTAGCGGATGAAGTAACGGTTTTTTCGGAGTCGGAATCGGAAGAAGAGGAAGAAGAATCGTGACCGTGAAGCTTCTTGCTAATCTTGTCCGTCAACGATACGCCGCCGCCGGTGGTGACGGTGCTTTCCGGTTGGTCGGCCATTGACCCTTAAATTTCGAAGATCAGAAAAACCCTAACCCTTGAACTTCGATTTCGGAGTGAGGAAAGGGAAGAAGCTTTCTTTCTTTCTTTCTTTCGTTGAATGTGTGAGTGATAGGTTTCGGAGTGTAAATCTGAGTGTAAAATTTATAGGTGTCGCGACTTCCGAGGTTCGGGTGCCCGAAGCTGAGGCTCGGACAAAATTTGAAATAGAAATGACGGCGTTTGAATCTCGAGGCATCACGCTGTGTTGACGGCGTTTCAAAATGGTAAGAGAACGGATGCTTGTTTGCTATCAAATAGAAGAGAGTACGAAAATTATTACAAATTTGCATTTTTTTTTATTTTCGATTTTTTATAAAATATAATAAATAGTTTTATCATTGAATTAAATTTTAAAAAAAAAGTAGATATAATTTTTTTCATAACTATTCATAATTTTATTTTATTAACATGTCATTGCGAAACCAAATTTTATATTTAGCAAACAGTTAAGTGTACTTAGATTAGTTACAAAAATTATGTTTATAACTAATTATCATGATAATTGTTTGTATAAAATAAATTTAGATTTAGATAGATTAGGTAAAAATAATTTTAAAAGGTTTTTTTTTGTTTCAATTGTATAAAATAAATGTTTTTTAGGTAAAAATAATAATAATAAATTTAATTTTGTGTAATAATTAATTTTAGTATTTAAATAATTAATTGTGAATAATAAAATAAGAAAATAAAAGATATCTGAAAAACTACTTTTTAGCTTTTAATTATAATTTATAAAATTTGCTTGTATGAGATAAGATGCTTCCTTTGTAAATAATAAATAAATTAATCGAACATTATGAGCTAATTTTTGAAAAAAAAAATACTAAACAAAACTGAATAACATTTTTTACAGCTCATTTTAAATAATCAAATCCACAATATTGAATGGAAATAAAAGAAATACACTATTTTAATAAATTAAAATGAATACATAATTTATCAAATATATTGATCATAAATATGGGAAACTATTATTTCATATATTGTTTTTTTTAAATGTATTCCTTATGTAGTTATTTCTTTAGTTTTTAAGATATATAGCAACTAAAAGTACATTAATTATGAACGAACCATAAGAAAACACATTTTATCTCATGTATTGATCTAAAATAGGGGGGAAATTAAAAAAATAATATAATAGAAATAATTAATGTTCTAACTTATTTAAATTTTATTATATTTTAATTAATTCTAATAAGTTTTTATGAAAGGGAATATTTAAATAATATTTATTTCATATTTTTAGGCTTAATTGTTGATATATTGAAATTTTATTTATAAATATATACAATTAATATAAGAACTTCAATAAAAATCTTATATTGTATATGCTGAGATAAAACTCATTTAAATCTTAAAATTTGAAGATGAATAATTATCTTATTAAAAAAATATTAATTTTTAAAAGGAAATAACTAAATAGTAGTCAATCTTGTAAGAGAAAGATAATTTTGTTAGAATAATAAAGATTATATTAAGTAAATGTAATGATCATGTTGAGTAAAAATTTATTAAGGTTTTATTAAAGAATAAATAATTACTACGGTATTGATATTTATGTTTATAATTTAAGTTGTTAAGATTTACTTATAGGCTCAAATTTTATCATAACTTTAAACATTATAATTTATTCCGTATGTCACACGGGGACAAATACTAATGAGAACACGACATTTTTCTTTCTTTCTTGTAATTGTTTTTGTGTGTACTAATCAAATATACAAATCTAGTCAAATATGGATGATTAATTTAATCACATATTAAAAAGAGTGTGGTAAAAGCATTGAAGTATGCTAAATTTTAGTAAAAGTAGCGTTCTAACTATCTTGTAATTTTGATATTTTGCTTCTGCTTTGAAGATTTTAACCATATAATAATTATGTATTAGCAATTTCAAAGCCTCCAACTCCAAAATCACCCAAACGTGGCTTCAAGAGAATGAAGCAGAACTTGGTGTGAATCCATAAGAACCCTCTATACCATTTGTAGGGTATAGAATAGTATACAAAATCAGAACATCCCTTAAAAAATATACCAATTATTGGGTGTTAAGACCCTTACAGGTAGAGAGATAAGACATATTTCTAAGGAGCTACACATACCTTTACATAAATGTAAATAAATGGATAATTATTTTGGTCTTTGTGGTCTCAACACAATCATCATAATATTCAATACCCGACTTCTGAGTCTGTAAATTTCTCTCAATATCGTTTTTTATTTAAGTTTAATTGTATTTTTACATATTTTAATAATTATGTGTAGTTTTATTTTTTTAAATTTTATAAAAGCTAGTTAACTCATTAATTTTAAATCGAAACAAATTTTGTCTCTCAACTATTTTTTTACTTTATATTCTTGAATTATTATTTTTATTCAAAAATTCCAAAAAATTATGATGCATTTAAGATATGAAATAATTATGACAGTTCAAAAGTAAAGAAATTAGTGAAAACTTAATAGCATTTGAAGTATTTATTAAAATATAAAATTAGGATTTAAAAAGAAAGTTTATAATTTTTTTATTCTGAGTATATTTTAATGATTTTTTAGAAAATAATTTAATTAATTCAATCTGTAATAATTTCAAGTAAAATAATAAAAAAATAGATAAAAAAAAAAGTTTGATAAAAAACCCGATTAGCTTGATACTGAAATCTCACACAATCTAAATTAAAGGAAATAAAAATATAACTAAGTCTTTTATTTATTTACAAATTTCAGATTCAATCTCAAAAAAAAAAGTTTATAGGTAAGTAAAGTTGACGAAATAGACCTTTTCAATTGAATTGACCACCCTCTGTTTTTTTTGTTAAATTTATCCATTTTTACCATCTCCTCAGATAAGCTAATTAGGCGGCTAACTGGCCGGTAAAAAATTGTTAAATTTAGTTGTTTTGAGGAAGCACTTTCTTCTTTATTATCCTTTTTAAATTTAAATTTCTTAAATTTTTTGGTACCTAAAGTTGTAACCTAGTTCTTTGTTTGTTGTTGGACTTTTAGTCCCGTTTATTAAAAAAAAAAAAGGACACAATTTTTTATTAAAATAAGAGTCAACCTTCAATAGTTGTAACAATCACTAATTAAATTTGATAAAATTTGTATTCTTTTTTCTCTAACCTAACCATATCATGTTATTAAATAACACGAAAAGATTAAGATTTGTTCTTTATGAGGAATGGTAAGTTGTGTAGCTGTAAGGATTCTTTAAAAAGCACCTTTGCCTTGCGTTGACAGAAGATCATAGCCATGAACCCATGGCCTTTGGAATCCCTTGGAGCTTCTTTGCTTTCAAGTTTAATCAGACAGTGAATAGTCTGTTTTGCTTATTATTCAATTCATTTTGGGCAGAAAATGCCTCTACTGGCTCAAGAAGGCCTATTATGTCACCAAGAAGCCACTTTGTTTCATTTCAAAGTTCAACAGTCATGATTCAGAATATCATGTATGAATGTTCAGTACCACCAAATCCTAAAAGTTAGGAAAGTATGGAGTGTGCCTCATAAGCCAAAAAAAGGAAGAAGTAGAAGAAATAAATAAATTAAATATCATGATGTTAAATCGAAATGAAAATTTGAGATTGGATTCCATGTGCTATGCAATTTGATAAATGGAGTTTGGCACTTACCTAGTGGATTATCCAAGTGTTGTTATGGTTGGCTTAACTAATACTTAAATTTCCATCAATAAAAGTGATGTCAACTCAGGCACATCTTATTTTGGGTATTCACAGTGTGTTGAAAGTAATCTCTGCAATATTTAACTAATACATGCATCAAGTGGAACACTGATAGCAACAAACTAGGAACAGCAACTGAGTATAGAAAGCACTAGTGCATAAGGCTCTTATAATTGGTCAAAAAAGGCCTCCAACAGAGTCCAAGTCCTCCCCACTCACTCGAGAATATAGAAAATATATAAATAAATGAAATTGATTTAAAAATAAGCTCTCGTCACATAATGATGGGGAGCTATACAGAAATAAAGTCACTCTTAAGAATAAAGTAAGTTTTTCTAAAAATTAAGAAATGTTGAATCTATTTTCAAATTATTTAGTGAGATAAGATAAGATAACAATATATTTTTGCTGGACTACATAATAAAGCAGAGAATATTTCATTAAGATAAAGCACACGTTACTGTGGTCGTTCGTGCACATAAACGTGCCGAGAATCCTTTGACATTCTACACACTGAAAATGATATTTCATCTAATTCTTGTTATAAAGTATTTTACAACAAGAATGTTGAGAGAAAACAGAAACAGAATGAACGGATATCAAATGCAAGTTGTATACAAATGACGACAAATATAAAAAAGTGGGAAAAAAAGGAAGCCAAAAAGCACCAATATCTTCTTGTTCTGAATGAAGTGGAGGCAAAGTGCAAAGCTAATAAAATAAAGAATGAAGTGGAAGAAAAATAGCATCACCGAGTGAAAAAAGAAAGGTCAAAAGGGCAAAAACAGGAGAGAAAAAAGGGTCATGCAATGTCAAATCAACCAAAATATACTACGGATCGTTTGTTTTATTGTTCTAACATAAAATTAAAATTTGTGACACAAATTAACTAGAGCCCAAGTCTTATTTACATTCAAGAGATCAAAATCAACTTTATTGAAGTCCAAAACAAACGCAAACTGCAACTATAAGATTTAGATAACCTTCTGTCACAATTGCCAGGGACAAAAGGAGCACTAACAATATGTTAACTCATTCCAATTAACAAAAATGACATGAATCATGATCGGATAAGGGTTGTCAAACACAATCTTATAAAGTGAGAAGCAAAGATTTACTCGTAGAATGTTCGAATGGACATGTATCTACTTTTCCTCCATCGCTATTAATTATAGTTTCTGATTTTTCATCGTATTTCCAAACACATATTTGAATTAATGCTATGTAAAAAAAAAAAAAAAAAAACCCTATTACATAATCAAACAACTAACACTCAAAAAAAAAAAAACTCCATCTTCTCCTCTTCACCATCCCCAAAAGCAAAAAAGATAGAAACTTTGAATCTCCTAAAAGCAAAAGAGAAAAAAACCCCATCACAGAAAAGAAAGAAGAAGTCACGTACTTGGTCTTCTATCAGCAGCATAGTGAGAAAGCGGAACCACCTCTTGCAACGGCGTAGATAACGGCGTTGGGAGGGGCGAGTTCCGACAAACGGGGCAAGACCCATTAAGTTTGAGCCACGAATCAAGGCAACAAAGGTGAAAGTAATGACGACACTCGGGCATCATCCTCAGCATCTCCGAGTCCTTGTACTCACAGAGACAAATGGAACACGTGGTATTATTCCGTGTGGTGTCCCTGTCTCTGCTGAACTGAAACCTGGGATAGGAGTTTATGACGCTCTGGTCAAGACCCACAGCGACGTTAGGCTCGGCATCGTCGTCTTCGGCGACGAAGATGACACGTGGAAGGACGAGACCGTCGGTGGTGGCGGCGGTGGTGCGGTGGCGGTTGCGGTGGGCGCGGCAGCAGAGGTAGGAGGAGAGGAGGAGGGTGGAGAGGAGGAAGAGGAATGCGAGGGCTATGGCGATGGAGTAGCCGAGGCCGAGGTTGGTGAAGTATGTGGTTGTTGTGGGTGGAGAGGGAATGGAAGAGGAAGAGGACATGGGGTTGCACAGAAGAGGGAATGAAGGGGAAAGAGATTCTCCATTTGTGAGGAGAGAGAGTGAAAGAGAGAGAGAATCAGAGAGGTTTGGATGATATTTTTGAGGGGTAAAGGGTGGGTGAGGGTTTCATCTGCTGCATTTATTGCTTTGTTTTTGTGGAGAGTCTCAACTCTCAAGCACGCTCTGAGTTAAGATCATGCATTTAATTCTCTATATATCAGAGAGAGAGAGTGAAAGTGTGTGTGAGAGAGAGAGTTAGCAATAAGCTTCACAGTGGTCAGTGGATGAATAGTTGAGTTACTGCTGGGATGTGTCAGTGGAGTTAGCCATAGATTTCGTGTTTGTTTTTTTTAAGTCTTTGTTAACTAATAACATAAGAATAATAATTAAAAAATAAAACATTTTTAATTCTTTTTTACAGTATATTTTTAATTCTTTAACTATTATCAATACTGAAAAATAATTTAAAAAATTAATAAAATACGTGTTTCTTGGCCTAAATTATTAGTATTATTATATTATAATTTTTTAATATGTATTCAACTGTGAGATTTTTTTCTTTCAATAAAAAAATTTAAATATAAAATTTGAACTTAAAATTTTACTAATCAAGTATGCTTCATATGAAATTGTAAAAAAAAAATGCTTCACATGAATCAATCACACGTCAATAATAATAAATTTTCTAATATAAGTTACATGAAACAAGCCTCAAACAAGTAAATCTTTTTAATTATATATGAAAAAATATTATATAAAATAAAATTGTATTTTGGTAAGTTTTATATCTTTAAAAAAAATCTCTATTCTTGTTAGAAAACGTCTTCTTTGGTGTATAAGAAAAATTGTGAGGGTTAGTGTGAGTTAGGTTGAGAAAAATGTAATCATGATTTAGGGGAAAGTTGAGGAAACCTACAACGAGGTATAGAGCTTGTAAATTGATATTCAAATATGCTATTAGGGTGTGAGGATGGGAGAGAGACAGTGCTAGAGTTGGAACTTTGCACCTTCTTTTGTTACAACTTTGCTTTCTCCACTTTGGGTTTTGGAGGTTGGTACTTGGCAGTGGAGGGGAAGCATGGAACCAAATGCAATTATTCATGAGTCAACTACAAAAAAACACTCTTTGCTTTGGTGTGGTTTTTTTGTCTTCTTTATTTATTTTTATTTTTTGGGATAGTAGTTAGGGGAGATGAATTGTGTGGTGGTGGTGGTGTTTGAGGTTGTAATCGTAGGTTGTAATATGGAATGTGTTTGGGGTTCGTTGCAGCCTCTGTTGGTGCGTGGCACAAAGTGAGAAAGTGTTGATGATTTGTTTTTGGGGGAGAAAGTGAGTGTTAGGACAGACTGGTTCACATTAATTTGAGTTGATTGAAAATGTTGAGAGAATATGGAGAGAGAGCAACAAAACATTTTCACTTGCACGGATCCTAGCTAACCTCCATTCTATCTTCAAGAATGCATGAAACTTTGACTCAAAGATTACAACGATAATGCCATTTATATAAAACAAATTAGACAGAGTACTTTTCTTGTATATCAATTGTAATTTCATTTAAATGGTGCATTCCTATGAGAGGTGTTTACCCTTTCTGGGTGTATATAGGAGTGATCACAGGGTGGATTAAAATTGAAGGGAGTACTTCTTTTGTCAAAGCAAAAAAGTAATGTGTTGAAAAGAATGGAGTTTGCTAACCGATTCCAACGAGTACTCAATAATTAGATTCAATTAAACTTAATCATGACATATCTTGACTTTAAAAGACAAAATTAAGTCGTTAATAACAAAATATATGGGTAAAGAGAGCTTGTTATTGGAGATTTAGATTGAACTTTCGTTTCACAAGCTTTATTTTTGGAGAAATATTACTTTTAACGATTAGTTAAAATATATTTAAAATGATAAAAAAAATCACATAAATTTTATTTTGTTTTTTAATTTAATATTTTCTAATTTTTTATAAATTTTAATAAAATTAAGTGTTAGAAAGTACATTAAAACACCTTTTTATCTTGAATAATGCTATTCAAACACTCTCTTTGGATGTCTATACCTAATACCGAGAAAGTGAAGTTTTAATTTAAAATTTTTAAAAATAGACACTGTTGGTATATGATATACGGTATAGACACTTAAACAATGTGTTTGAATAGCATTATTCTTTTATCTTATTTCGTGTAACACTTTTTTTTTTCTCTGGCAACGATTACGGTGACTTATGATATATCACTCATATTAATAATTGGAAGAGACGTAGAAAAAAGAAAAAAATTACGAGACAAAAATATTAATTTAAAAATAACAATAAATTTTTTATAAATTTTAATAAATTTTATTCAATAATAAAAAATATGTTAAGAAAATGTGTTAATAAGCATGTAGTTCTTACATGTAATTCAATTTTTTCTATGGCATTATTCTGGCGTGTTTTTTTAAATAGTTGGATGGTCTTTAAGACTTCTCGTTGGACTGTGTGTGTGGGATGCTGTTATATGTACATTTATACTGCCTTTTTAGTGCGTTGGATTTGGGTTTACTAAAACCTAAATTGTAAAATTACTCTTACTTTCAGCAGACAACATAAATTCTGCTCCTTGTCCTCTTTTAATTGGTTCTTAGTCTTCTTGCTAAGACTTGCTCATCTAATTTAATAATCAGGGACGGTTGGATTTAGGTTTATATAGAAAGTGAGCTATGTTTTTTTTTTTCGTTTATATGTTATTTTTTAATGTTTTAAATATATGCATGTTTTTATTAAGTGTAATTTTATTGTAATGTTGTTTATATTAATTTCGTCAAACTATTAAATATAACTAGCTATAGCATGGATGTCACTTATTTGAGAAGTGATTTTGTAAATTTTAGTGATGTTATTTAAAGTGAAAAATAAAGTTTTGTTTAAATTGAATAATTCTAAATTGCTAAACTATATATAGTTGGATAGAAAGGAATAATATTTTAAAATGTTATAAAATTTTAACTAGATAATTTTTATGTTGAATAAAAAAATTAAATGATATATGTCTTTTGAAAAAAAATTAATTTTTTTTTATTATACTTAACTTTATATAATCATCATTCATAATTCATCATATATCTAACTCTTACTTTTATAATTTTGCATTATTAATTTCATATTCTTTCAAATTCTTAAATTATCCATCCAAGCATAACTTAAAAGATTTACTAATAAACATTAAAAGTTTATATTACAAGTATTTTAAAAAAAATTGAAAGAGTTTTTGTTTATTAAGTATTTTAATATATAGAGAGAAAGATAGGTAAAATGAATAAATCTATCACTTTAAATAATTATAGTTAAAATCAAATTCAATCAAAATTGAGGGAATTTCTACATACACAGAACTTAAGCAAGGAAGATTTTGAAAAATCAAATCATTTTCATTTTAAAACCATTCAAGAAAACATTTACAGATAAAATAAAGTTTTAAAAGTATATAGTAATTACAATAAATGCTCTTGACAGCTGTAATACAATTTTTCAGGACCAATTTTATCAACGACACTCAAGTAAATTGAAAAGGATAAATTTTGTGATCCTCATAAAAAATTTTAAGGATATCATCCATGGAAAATTTTAACTAATAATATTTAGACACATATTTAAATAATAAATTTATTTAATAATAAATTATTATATTTAAATAAATTAAAAAATATTTAAATTAAAACTAAACAAATTAAAATTTAAAAATAAAATAATAATATTATATTAATATATTTTTTATATTTTTAATTTTATTATTATTAATATTTAATTATTAAATTAATATATTATTTATAATTATTTTTATTTACAATAAATAGAAATTACTTAAATATAAATTATATTTATTTGAAACTAAAAATTTATAAAAAAAAATAAAATTTAATATACAAAATATATATAATAATAATAATATATAGTAAATAATATAATTTTAAATAAATTATATATAATAAATTTTTTAAACTTGTCATATATCTTTTTTTTATTGGTAGAAATTTTTTGGGTACGGTAACTATAAAAAAAATTTAAAATACCACGTTACACACCATTGAAAAATAACTCAAATTTAACTCCAAGGAATATAGCTTAGTATACAAAATTAAGAAGAATGTGTAGCTCAAAATTTTCAATAAAAAAGATCATCACAGAAATTTCAAACCGTTCTGTAAGAAGATGAGTAAGCACAGACACAATTGAATTTCGATGATGCATGTCTCAATAAAAATTGGAAAAAAAAAAAAAACAAACAAACACACACACACACACACACAAAAGCTCCGAGTCATCTACGATCGTTCTTCTAAACATGTACATTAATTATTTCATGCTGGCACGTAAAACAAATTTACAAAAAGAGAATCGCCCTAGGAAAATTAACTCTAATTATTTTACCTTAGATTATTAATTAATTAGACACATTCTATGATATTGACACCATTATTACTACCTTGCAACAACGAGTTCCTACAAACGGGACACGATCCATTAACCTTCAACCACTCATCAACACAATCTCGATGAAAGTAGTGGCGACATTGTGGCATCATCCTTAGCATCTCCGACTCCTCATAATCCGAAATACATATGGCACACGTGGTATCGTGATCATGTGTGGTGTCCACATTGGTTTTGCTATAAGGGAAAGTGTGATAAGAGTTGATGATGTCAATGGAGAGCCCATTGGAATTGTTTTGATCATCATCATTACCATTATCGGTTGATGATGTTGTATTAGGGTTTTGGCCTTGTTCACGCTTCACAGAAATATAGACATAACATACCCGAATGAAGAGAGCAACAAAGATTATTAAAAAGAACAACTTAGTGAATATGTCTAAGTCATTTTTATGGGGTGAGGATGAAATGGTGGCAGTGGTGGTGATGGAGATGGAGGGAGAGGGGGAGGGAGAGGACATGGGAAATGGAAAGATGGTTTTTTTTTTTTTTTTGTGTGGTGGTGAAAATTTGACAAGATAAAAAAAATGGTGTTGATGAAATGGAAACTAGTTTGGCACTGGAAGGTTGGTTGGAGTTTTTATTTGTGGTACAGGTGGAGGAATGAGGATTTGGTTGAGTGTGTTGGATCGACAAGACAGAGAACAAACTTGAAGCTAATTAAAGTTATACACCAACAAAATCTAAAAATTAACTTACAAGGAGGTAAGAAATTAACTTTCAATTAATTTTTTTGGTTTTCACAGTTGCTATTGTACTTGTTTATTTTATTTTATTTTATTTCGTT